ACAACAATAACAACAATAACAACAACAGCGACAACAATAACAACAACAAAGTAACAACAACAACAACAACAACAACAACAGCAGTAACAACAACAACAATAACGACAATAGCAACAATAACAGCAACAACAATAGCAACAACAAAAGTAACAACAACAACAGCAATAACAATAATAGTAACATTCTTAACAAATTACTTTCAAATGTAATAATGATAACAACTCCGAGTATTCAATAGAAAAAAAAGCAATTAAAACGTAACTCATCTTCTGCATAATTATTGGTAAACATATAGTAAACTTACTGGAAAGTTAATCAATAAGTTTATAGGTAAATAACGATGAATTCTTCATATTGAGAAGTTCTTTTATAAGTGAATAAATTATACACAATGCATAATAATAATAATAACAGTAGCAGCAATATAAGTTTTATGATAAGTTCCGCCGATAAACTTAGTGTTATCACTTTAAATTTGTCATCAGGATTGATAAAGAATGGATAGAAACATTGGAATGTTTGAAGTGAGAAAAAGTAGTTGCAAGTGCAGGTTACCTTTCTTACATTTGAATTAAATTTACCATTTGGCTAAAAAAAAGTACCAACTATTTTGCAGAAGTTATAATTCTAATTAGCCAAAAGGTTTCACATATTTAATTTGGCCAAGGAGTTTCAGATATTTAATTTGGCCAAAAACTTTCAGATATTTGATTTGCCCAAAGCTATTTAATGATTTTTTTTCTTCTCTCTCTCTCTCTCTCCCTCTAAAGTCATTGTTTAATTGACCAAAAAGTGTTGAATATTTTATATTAGGTGTTGGAAGATATTACTTTTTTCTTTTTCTTTTTTTTTGTTTTTGACCAGAAAGCATTAAATATTTTGATAATTTTTTCTCCAGTTTTTTCAATGTTTTCTTTTTCTTCCCTTTTGAAATAAATGAAAAGATTAAAACTTTTGATTGACAAATGATAGAAGGAATGATAAAGACATGCTAAAGTTCTTTGATCTTTAATCTTACAAGTTAGGTGGAACAAAACAAAATCAATTCGAGCATTCTTGAATTTTCTTCCAGAAAGTAAACTACTGCTAATGATTTTCCGGATGATTTAATCTCAAGCAATGTTAGGTTTGTACGCAGATAAAGCAATAACTGCTAAGATTTACATTAAGAAATCAAATCCGCAGACCCAACCCTGCATGCAGACCGTTCAGGATAATGGCCACTCGACACTGACTCCGGAGATGACAGTCTTGTTCCGCAGCATCCTGAATGACCAAGCAGTCTTTTCTAAAGAGAGTATTGCTTGCTCCATGCGGAAAAGGGCCTAGAAAAGGTGACCAACCATCTCCAGTCGGTTGACTAACCGCGGGCAATAGACATCGTTGCTCCCGGTGAAATTCGTCTCCATGAGGAGGATAGCCTCAATAAATACGGTGTCGGTTACACCTGTACTGGTCGATCTGGAGAACCCAAAAGCGGCAGTCACCTTTCTAGAGTTGGTTTCATGGTTAAAAATTCCACCGCCTCCAAATTCGAAAATCTGTCGATGGGTCATTCCGATCGTATCATTTCCCACCCCTCCTATTACATAATAAGCAAAAACTTGTTCTCTTTAGCATGTATGCTCTAACTATGCGAGCTAACTCTATAGAAAAAAACAGATTCCACATCGACCTACGCCATTTTATCCAAAAATTCCTCCAACAAGGTCATAATTCCTGGTGACAAGGTCATAATCCTTGGTGATTTCTTGGAAAAAACTCCGAAGCCTAGAAAGGTGTGTCAGGCAAGAATGGCATTGAAAACTGCAATAACAGTGAAAGACTTTTGCTAGAGTTTTGTGCAGAACAGCATTTCATCATCACAAAACTATCTTTTAGCATAGAGACAATTTTGAAACAATATGGATGCATCCTTGATCCAAGTATTGACATCTTATTGATTATCTCTTAGTGCTCCAAAGAAACATTCACAAAGTCCGTCATATCCGAGTGATACTTAGTGCAGAATATTGAACAGATCACCGCCCTATACGATGCAAACTTAACTCCAACTATAAGCCCAGATCTAAGAGGGTCGGAATTCCAAGAAAGAGGATTAAAGTTAACATTTTCCAAACATCTACTAGTGAAAGATATTTTCTAGATAAATCTTCAAATCAGACTTCAAGAATACCTCACAGATCCTTCTCCTAAAGCGCCTTATCAACACGGCAAAAGGGATCAAGAATTTGTTGATAAGCGAGATCTACTCTCCAAAATCTACTCTACTCTCCAAATATACCTTCCTCAGCCATCATACCATTTGTAAGAAAAGGAACTTTTCGTTTTGCATGCAATAGGCTCCAATAGAAACTTCAAGATATTCAGAATAAATAGTGGATCAAGGTAGCAGAGAATATCTGTGCGTAGATTCGGGTAACTACAGATGATTCTATGAGACTCTGAAAGTTGTATGTGGATCAACGTATCATCATGGGGCGGTTAAAGCTCCCTATTCAGTGCAGACAACCAAACGTTTCTCACTAACAAAATATCTATACTGAATCGATGATCTAAACATTTCCAGATTCTCTTCACTGCCAAACGTGCAATCCAAGACTTAGTAATTCATATACACAACAACCAATGAAAAGCGAATTGGATATAACCCTATGATAGAGATGCTCAAGGCCATCCATATAGCAGGTGAAAACTGGCAAGGCAAATAGGATTAATGTTATTCCACCTGAGATCTAATCTGGTCTGAAAACATGGAGGTCAAGTACATCACGCTAAGTTTCATAGGCTTGTCCTGTAATGCTGGGAAAAAGGCGAATTTCCAACAGATCTTCGTGATGCACTCATTATCATCCTATGCAAGAAGAAGGAGATAAAATTAGGCTGCTCAAATTATCTGGGTATTATCCTGCTCTGTATTGCTGGCAAAAACTTTCTTTCAAGAATATTTCTAAACATATTAACAGACTTTTGCTATTTCAGAAATTCTACCTGAAAGTTTTCAGGTAGAATTCCTGATTTATATATAATGTAATTTCAGGAACTAATAGGAATACTACAAA